AGGTCGCCAGTACAGACCAAACGCAGTGAGGTCTGTACTAGCAACCGAAGTCAAGATTCTCCCCTACAGACCACCCGCTCGGTTAATAAGATGTTTATTATATGGCTATGTCTTATATGCCAATTTTTTATATTCTTTGAACCCTTTTTTTCTAGACCGGTCTGGATGCCGGTCTAGATGGGAAAATCTAGACCACTTTCAATATTGATTTCAGCCAATCAAATTCGTGATTTTGGTAGTTCCCAGTCCTTGTGAGACAGCCATATAATAAAGTCCTAGACAGCCCCTCAAAGCTGTGGAATTAAGGTTGTCGAAAATGCACAAACATGAATTGGAGTATTGATCTGCAGTTTGCTTTTGAAGTTTTACTAACAATGATGCACATTCTTGAAAGCATTTCTATATGTACAGTATTAAACTTGGAAGTTGTTCAGTAAGATTTATCTCTACTGAAAAGGTCGTATGAGTTACTAGGTTACGGGAAAGCGTATAATATCGTACTTTCTCTTTCAAAAAATGTATGATGAGTAGGTCACCATTGCAAAAGTGTTTCTTGTGGCTGTAGCAGTTCTGAGTTTTAACAATTAATTTTGCCTTTGATAAATGTAATTAACGATGGCTATTTTATTTTGCAGTTCCTATTATATTCAAAGAGAAACACCCAGACGCAGGATTCCGTTTTATGTTCAGGTAGTTTGATTCAGCTGTTTGATGGTTTTAAAATGTTAACTGGAAACGTATTGCTTTAAATTATGTTTCTTTCCCACAAACTAATCGTCATTAATCACCATCGTAAAATGCAAAAGAAATCTAGTTATGAACGTAACGTGAGATTTCGTCACGTCACCCTCTGTGTAGGTTTGCAGAAAACAACAGGTTTGCACCAATCAACGTGAATGTCCATGTGTTAGAAAGAGCCCCTTTAGAGGGCAAAATCTTCAAATGTCAGTCTTTTTTTTTTTCCTTTAATGCAAACAACAAAAGAGGAGGATTCAGTTGTTGACCTCCATAACTTGAGGATCCTGGCTTTAATGCACTTAAAATTACGTAGATCCCCTTCTGCAGTAGCTGCTAGCAAGAAAACATCGTTCAACTTTACAGCTAAGACTTGCAAAGCAAGTAACAACCAATGGCAGGGAAAGATACGCGTACGTCAATACGCGTGTACATGTTTGTGTAATTAACGTACACTGTACGTCTACTGCGAGGATCGTGCATCATACGTATCTAATACCGCAGTACAAAATATATGAACTTCATATATTTCATTGTATCTCACTGTACGTCTTAGCGGTGCAGGATTGCTCGTGGCGCAGCTGAGTTCTCTGTGTTTTCTGACTTTGCAGGAAGGATTCGAAGATCAATACCAAAATAAAATTCATGCGATAGAAAGAAGAGTAGAAGAGGACTACATAGGCCGGCTCCAGTCTCAGTGCTTTAGAGAAAGACAATATAGTAAGTACTGACGTAATCTGCAGTGACTTCTTTGGTGAATTATCATAACAGGAGAGTATTATGGGGTGCCCAGTGGCTATCGACTTAGCTACAGAGGGCGGGCTATCGTAAGAATAGAAGTTGCTATTTTGAAAATTGCCTCGAATTTCCGAATCTTTTCTTGGACATTTACAGTACCTGGTCACAGTTTTCCACAGGCAAAACTCGCGTTTACAATTTCCAAGGTTATTTCACTGTAAGTTCGGTTAATTTCGCTTTACTGCAAGCAACTGTGTCGACGTTTTCCATTCCCTACGTTTTCGAGAACCCTTTCGATTGAGCGCCGTGGTTACCACTTGGAATTACCCTTCCAGGCCGATCGTGAGGTGCAGTAAAGGAGTGAGGTATCTATCACGTGACAGCAGTGACCTTTCCATGAAAATGAGAAGTAAATATGACTGCAATGTCACGCAATCTCCTCTCTACTTTGCGTGGCGTTACCAACTAATGAACGACTTTTGTGAAGGCTTTTGTCACAGAACGCTAAATATAAATCTGAAATTTTGCCGAGAAACCTAAATTATAGTTTGGATTTTACTAATGATGGGCTGAAAAGTTATAAAACACCTTCGCTTGGTTTCAAAATAAAAGGAAATATTCCTGTTTGCTTCGGAAGTTGAAACCCATCAAGTACGTGCGCTGGGTTTTGCGATAAAATTGTAATTCAGAGACGTTTTGTCCGGTTCCCGACTGGCCTCGTCCATTAGCTTTACTCTGTGTATCTTATCTCCGCGGACATTAGTTCACCCCCATGGATTTACTTTGTAAACAACGCGATTTTCATTGTCACTAGCCTAAAAAAAACCTCCAAAAATGAACTTAGCTTGATTTTACTCGCGTTTGTTTTATGATTGGCGTCTTTTTAGAACAATCACTGCATTACAGATACATTAAACATCGCCTTCGCTTTTCATTGAAATGTTTTTTTCGATGCCGAAGAAAGATTATTTCCGCTTTTATGAAAGGTTCCTCACCACAGGTGCAGATTCGTGATATTTTCGTTTTTTCTTCTATTTACCAGTATTTCGTTTTGTTTTAATCAGAGTTAATTAGTTTACATTTCACAAAAATCCACTGATCTTTCGCTGTATTTGCTCGTCTTTTTATTTTATTTACTTTTGTTTTCATTTCTGTTTGCAAATTACATTTCTTCAGGCCACACTTCTGGATAATATTTATTTTTGTTTGACTTTTATCGGTAAAAATAATTAGACAGCGTCGTGTGCCCATTAAATGTAATTGTCATTTTTACATTATGGTTTTTTAATGCGTAATTGCACATCTTAAAGTGCAAATTTCACAGTTTTCCCCTTGACACCTTTTCCCACTCAAAGGCGTTTAGTCGTCTGGCCCAACAAACACACAAACAAACTCCTCACTGGAACAAATTTTAAGAAACACAAAGTTCCTTGTCGCCATTTCCCAAAAATTATAATTCATTCAAGCAGCAAATCCGGTTTAGTGACTTCTTCTGCAAGAACATCATTTCGTGCACCTTGTTTTCACAGAATCACGCATTTTGCTTTCCCTTTCTTGGTCGATTTTGCTATGGCTGCACTCACTGCTTCATTCAGCACCTCCACATAACCCCTCTGCTTCAGCGCGGAACATTCGATGTACTTTATAGCCCCAATTTTTTTCGCCATTTTCTTGGCTTCCTTGTGAGTAACCTGCCCGGCTGGGCGCTGGCTGCTGTCACCTTTCCCGCGCTTTTTACCCTCTGCAGCATCGCGGAGATCCAACTTCGTCCCGATAAGAACGATGGGAGTTCGTGGAGCCAGTTGCTTGACCTCCTTGAACCATCTTGTCTCGACATTGCGAAACGATTCAAAATCCGCGATAGAGAAACAAAGGCAAAACACATCAGTGCCGGGAAAGTTCTGCTGTCTGGCGCTGTCTTTCCCCTCATGGCTTTCCGTATCCCAGAGCTCTAGTTGATAAATTTTGCCGTTGACGTCCATGTTGGCAATGTAAGCGCTAGTGAACGATTCTACCTGTTTTCGCGACAGTGTATTGGAACTGTAACACAGCTGTAGAAGCAAACATGTCTTTCCGATGCCGTTGTCGCCTAGGAAAACACATTTAACCTTTCGTTCAATGTCTGTGGCTTTGTCAGTGACGACTGTGACTCCTTCCACCATATTTTCAACTCGCGAAGATGGCAGCTAGTCAGTTTTCGCTCACCGCGGAAAATCCGGATATTTCGTCAGAGTATTACTGTCGGTTTCGTCTCGAGCGGTGATTGACAAGCCGCGAATATCTTTTAGCCGTGTCGAATATCAACGGGCGAGTTATTTTCGACCTTTTTCGTCGCTGTGTCGTGTGGCTATTTGGATGAAATCTTGGATTTTATACTCTTCATAATCAAGGAAATGAACGGAGACCGCATCGTTGTCTGAGCAGAAACCACACTGGCTCTCGCTTTCGGATTATTTGTAAACACTGTGTGAGATGTGATGACGTTGTGTCGTTATTAGCATATGCCTCGGGATGACAAGAATAGGAAATAATTGATCTCAAGATTTTCCAAAAAGAAAAACCTCCCATTTAATTGCTCGCGTTGTATTTCGATGTCAAAAATTTGGATTGAATTTCAAGTCAGTTCCTTTAGGCATCTGCTTGTAACAGAATAATATTTAAAAACCCCCGGCTTTGAATTATTAATAATCTTGATGTGTCGGTAATTTCAAATATTTGCTCAAGTCTCGGCGACTTATTTCCATTGTGTTGTGCGAGTATTTTTATTTTTGAGAAACTTACGTTTGCCAGAGGCACATCAGTCATTCGAATCGTTTTCATTTCAACAGTGGAGTATATTTCCTTTTGAAAACAAATTGTTCGGGTTCATTATTCTCAATATTTCACTTTGTATTCAACTCTGCAGGATTCCCCCCTGTGTTCGTATAAAATAAAGATTCTTCTGTAGATCTCTGGAGCGTTTTTTCGGCGAATTTCGGATTTGATCAGACTGCATATTTTTGGAATGTAACATTGTTCTCCCGTGTAAGACATCTTTGCTTCCCTTACGAAAAACTATACGACGTTGGTGTATCTCGATTATGCTGTATTTGAAGAACGCTTTCGTGTCGCCATTGTTTTAAAATTGAAATATCTTTCAATTCCAAGTCAGTTTGAAAACGTGCGTTAACAAGCTCGAATATGTTTCGCACGAAACCAATATATGGTAATGACATAAATAGCTTAAAAGATTTGCATATTTCCATTTCTTTTATCAGCAGACATTTTTCCTTTGTGACTGATCGCTTTGTGATTAAATAGCAGGATTTAGTGGTTTCGTGAAGTGGTATCAAGAGTTTATCCAATACATTAATCCGGCTTTTGTGGACTTAAACTGTCACTTTTTCTTTCATGATATTTACACCCCCGGACAAATAACTTCTACCGGAAGCAGTCATAAATTATTGCTTACTATACAGCCTTCCCTCGGAAAAAAAAAAAAAATTGGCGGACGGAAATGCAAGTGCGTTACAAATCCCGTGTAACTTTCATTTTGTGCTTGTTTTTATACTGCACAATAAGATTTAAATTCACGATTTGCATTTTTAGTCATGATTTTTATACACTGTAAATGCATAGAATTATTTACTCCATTCCCCTCCCCATCACTCCCCTCCCCATCCCTACCCTCCTCATCCCTACCCTCCTCATCCCTACCCTCCCCATCCCTACCCTCCCCATCCCTAAGTAAGTTTGAGATCTTGAGCAACGCGAACCCGCGCGGTCTGTAAGTTTTCCTTCACTCATTACTAGTGCCAGACTCCTAGCAGACCTCTTTGTTCAAGGCCTTAAACTTACTCGCAGGCGAAGAAATGCTCGTGAAGCAACGCTGATAACGAGAACCTGCTTGAAGGCTATTCTGTGCCAACTAAATATGTCTGGGAGTGAAGAGCTCTCATCAAGATTGTGACAGAGATCGAATTTTCTTTTCCCTTTCGCAGGAGAAGAAGTGCGAGCTCGTGCCCGGTTTTGGCGAGATCAGGCTCTACTGGATCGAGCAAATGGGATGCAAATGAAATCTTGTGATTCGCTGGAAAAAATAGCAGCTGCAGGATAAAGTATTCGCTAAACTGTCAAATCTGTTCATTTGTAATCAATGAAACCTTGTGATTCGCTGGAAAAATAGCAGCTGCAGGATAAAGCAGTCGCTTAACGGTCAGATCTGTTCATTTATAATCAAGGCTTAAATTACTTTTTCCTTTTTGCCGGTGTGGTCGGTTTTTACTAAACAGCAACCAACTTCAATAAAGTTAAGTTGGTGTCCCTGGAGATAGTTTTGGGAAACTGCTATTCCCAAAATGTTGATATCTGAAACCCTCAGAGCCATAAATGAACTGCAAATTAAGGAAACGGTACTTTTTAAATATTGTAACATAACGAAATTAGTTTTAGGTCAAGTCTGCGTTCACAGCATCCTCGGAGACCCAGGGGCTGTGGGTCGATTTCAAGTTAGGGCATGAAGAGCCCCTGGGGACATTGTGTGACAAGACTAGTTCCAAACGGTCGCAGTAGTTCTGCCATCTGATTGGTGCCAGAAAATCTTTGTGTTTTTCTGCCCAATCAGAGTGAAGTGTGCTTTAGAGTCCTTTCGTGTGTTTTAACACGGACATATACTAGTAGCTCAGTTGCTCACTATGTTTGTTTGGACCTTGCGACGGAGATTTGCTTGAGGTGAAAAGTTTCAGTCTTAGCACACAATGTAAGAGAAATCGATCAGATTGCCCGCGAAAATCTTACCGGAAATTGTACTGAATACTTTCGCAGGTATCACTAGAGAACGTGTTTTAAAGTTTGCGAGGTTTGTCTACAACACGATGGTTGCAGTCATTGATATGTCGCTTTAAACGTTAAACGAGGTTGAAGCTTAAATCTTTTTAGAATTTTTTGCATAATTTGCTGTGACTGAAACTTTGCCAATCCCGTGAAGTTATTTCGTCGCACGGGCCACGCAGGTATGTCGAGCAACTGGTACTTGCGCAACTTTCTGTGCGTGCCAAAATCTAATCTCATCTTCGCTTGAAAAAAAAGAAAAGCTGAGCGTGGAAACTTTTGCTTATTAGATGTGTGTAGATGACCCTGTACTACTAAGCTGACATTTGCAATAAAACAAACCCGCCCTTTCCATCCAATATTTCTTGGTCTTTGGTTTTGTTTTTCTTACTGAAAACAGCATCAAATCGATTCCCAATGATCAAAGGTATTTAACTTGGTCTTCAACAATCGACAGAAGAGGTGAAATGACAATGACCAAGGGACTAGAAGAGAATCCGTGGCCTTCCTAGCTCAAGAATTTCAACAGTCTAGATAGCAATTGAAAGATTAAACTCCTTCCAAACCCCTTCGGTAACTGCCCGAAAACATCTCTCCTTCTCACGATGTTCTCGTTAAACAGTTTTTGTTCAGATTTTAATTAGCTAACCGGAAACACAGCTAAGCTTTCTCTTAGGACTTGCTGGAGGTCGTCCACGAACTTCACGTTCTCATCAACCTTGGCCGTATTGTCAACGACTTTACTACTAAGATTAGATTTTGGCGCGCACAGAAAGTAGAAAGCTACGTGGGCGAAAGCGCCAGTTGCTCTACATACTTGCGTGGCCCGTGCGACGAAATAACTTCACGGGATTGGCAAAGTTTCAGTCACAGCAAATTATGCAAAAAATTCTAAAAAGATTTAAGCTTCAACCTCGTTTAATGTTTAAAGCGACATATCAATGACTGCAACCATCGTGTAGTATACAAACCTCGCAAACTTTAAAACACGTTCTCTAGTGATACCTGCGAAAGTATTCAGTACAATTTCCGGTAGGATTTTCGCGGACAATCTGATCGATTTCTCTTACATTGGGTGCTAAGACTGAAACTTTTCACCTTAAGCAAATCTCAGTCGCACGGTCCAAACAAACATAGTGAGCAACTGAGCTACTAGTATATGTCCGCATTAAAACACACAAAAGGACTCTAAAGCACACTTCACTCTGATTGGGCAGAAAAACACAAAGATTTTCTGGCACCAATCAGATGGCAGAACGACTGCGACCGTTTGGAACTAGTCTTGTAAGACAATGTCCCCAGGGGCTCTTCATGCCCAAACTTGAAATCGACTCAGCCCCTGGGTCTCCGAGGATGCGTTCACACGTGGTGCCAGAGAACCTTTGTCGCGTGTTTACAGCAACAGCCGATAAGGCCGTAATCGGCTGTTGTGTCAGGGCACATGGTTATAATCTACAGCCTGAAAAGTGAAAGAAAAGAGTCCTCTTTAGTCTACTTTTCATTTGAAATTCAGTATATAAGTCGCAGGACGGCATTTTCACCGACGTCAGTTCATAGAATATGTGTACAAGTCAAACCAGGGGTATCAGGAGAAAGAGACGAGAGGGGTTGGGTACGGTGGGGAAGGGGATCTCTGGGAACCACTCCCGTAGATACGTCCTTGGGGCTAGAAAATTAAGCCAGTATTGTGGACGGGTCTTAATATAGCGAGGTGAATGATACCCTGCACGAGAAGAAAGATAACTAAATAGTCTGGTTTCTAAATTTTCTCCCCGATTTTCTCAAATAAGTTACTTCGCGATCAGGAAGATTAAATAAAGATAAACGGTGTCTTGCTGCTTCGATAATTAGGATGACCGCGATCGGCCTGATAGAATTGAGTTTGTGATTTAGCCTGGTTTGACAGATACCGACTAAAAAACCACTCTGATCCCGAAATAACAGCGAAATTTCGCTCTACTCCATGTAAAGTTACCCACCCTTGGATCGCTGGATTCTGTTGCCTTCTTTTATTTTGTGGTATTTGTCGATTTGAACTAGATAGACTTCTTTTAATACTTGATATGTCTCTTGCTTTTCTATATATATTATTTAATCATTTCGTTGCAGTTGTAAACTGAAATAAAAAACAACTATTTTAACACCAGTGGTCTGGTTCACTGTTTTCATGATAATGCTCGTACTCGGGATAACAGGTGGTTAATAAAGGTGCGTTGCATGAATTAGAAGTCAGCACACTTTCTTTTCAGCTCCGTGTCAGCGGTTTAGTCGCTGAGTGCCTTACCACTGACATGTATTAATAGACTGTAAGTTGGAAACACCAGTGGAACCCCTCACAGTGTTCAATTTAACATAAACGTGCTAAGATCAATTAATTGTTCCAAGGTATTGCAATTTTTAAGTATTTGCGCTTTTGTCGATGCGACAAATGCTTTTTTTCCCGCCAGTTTCATTCGTTCTCGTCAGTTTCAAACGATATCGTTCCGTATCGACAAAGGGCCTAATCGAGAAGTATATCCTCGGCAGAAACAGTTTAACTGCCAAAGTTAGAATTCACAAATGTGTGAAAGACTCCAAGCATACGATCTTTGTTCTTTCCCACAAAGGAGTTAGCCCGTCATGCCATTGAAATAGAAAATACTCTGAGTTCTGATTAAGCTGAATTTTGCGGCTCTATGCAATAAAAAGAACTCAAATTATGCAATAATACTCGCTTTTAAGCAGTAGTCCCTTTTTTATATGCTTCGGAAATACCTTATGGTGTAAGTGTTTACCGCCGAAGTGGAGGTAAATATCAAATGACTTAACGGACACAGAGGAGCATGACGTGTGTATGCATAGTATACTGTACAAATCTTCCCTTGTGATGCGCTTATGATGCTCCTAGAAAATCACGTGAGGTCTGAAATTACTCGGGAACATCCTGGATCTGTCAATCTTAAGCAACTTATATATGTAAATGTATTTTTATCCGGAAATTGTTTATCGAAGAAAAAGTCTAATTTTAGTGTTTGACTTTTTCCTCGGACGTTTTCGTAAACAAAAGCCATGTACTTTGATTGCGAGGTTGGAGGACAAAGGACGTACATCGTAGAAGTACGTTAGCCACAACTAAAACAGTCCGGCAAACTTTACCTGTTGGCAGTTACTGAATTATACTGGAATTCACATGAAGGTAGGTAACCGTGTTCGTTTTTGAGTAGAAGCTCGTTGCTTATTATGCGGCAATAATCGTCCTTTTAACTGATTGTAGACAGGTAAGCATTAGGAATGACTGAGAATGACCTTCACGGCTTACACTTCCGACAATTATTTCTCAACCTCAACAAAGAATTTATCAGTTATAATAAATCGACAGAAAGAACTTTACCAGCGAATTCATAACTCTAACTTGTTTGTCTAATGAATAACGATTAACTTCTTCGGCGTTTGCGGGTCACTTCGAAAATATCAGAATGGTTCAGTTTGATGGTACTTGCTTTGAGGCAGATTTTTCTCAGAGTCTGTTATCCATCATGATAACAGAAACCCGCGCAGGTTATGCTTCGAACTCGTCACTTTGCAAGACAATAATGTAACCTTACTAAGTCTGAGCCTGCCTGTCAAAGAGAACTGTGGAATTTTTCGAATTTGCCTCTGAGTGCCGCCTAATCACGCGCTGAGCAGTGATGTTGCCCAACACAGGAAACGGAGGCGAATTAACAACGTTAGCGCGCAAGCTTTGTACAAAATCGGTGTAGAAACCTATGAAGTACGTTCCGTCCGGCCCTACCTAACTCAGTTACTGAGCCTTTTGTTAATGACCATCATTTTTTCATTATTTTTCCTTTTTTTGTTGCCTCTTTTCATCCTTTATCTCCGCGCAGGTTCGTAACGGCTAATCCGTTCTCCTTTTCCCGGCACTACTTGTGGCACCGCCCGTGTCTCTCATACGGGGTCACATGGTTATGATGTAATAATAACAATAAGGATAACAATGCAAGACTGTTAAAATTGCGCTAAATTTAGATACTCTTTACACATAAATAACAGGTCAGATATGCAAATTAAAACAAGTTTAAAATGTTTCTTTTTCTCGTTGAACTTCGCCGTACAGTGCAAGACAAGCTCTTTCTTACATTATTTTGCAGTTTTTGTCAGAAATTTTCAAGCAACAAGCATACAATGAGTATACTGCTTTGTCTGCTGGGTTCCTATTGAGAAAGTGTTCTTGCTGTGCAGTTTTGGTACCATTTGCCTGAAATTAAATTTCATCTCACCGGGATTTATAAAACAATATTTAACTTTGCCATAAACCAATCGAATCCCCTTTGACTTCGAAAATGTGTTTCCTGTGATAAGTCTTCGGTCCACAATGAATGCTTTATACTTGAAAATTTCTTCCAGTTCGTCCTCGATATAACAGAAAAAAGCCTTGAAAGACGTACTTTGCTTCTAGAATTCAATTATGAAGCTGAGATATAGATGGAGTTGGGGTTTAAACTTTGACAACTAATTTGCTAGCCGTTAAAGCTTCATTATCGCTGATCTTTACTCTATCCTTCCAAAGTGTTTTATTTGTGAATAGATTGCAATTAGAATAGCTGTTGGCCAACATTTTTATTAATATTCATCTTCATTTGAATTTAAAATCTTCGATAGAAGGAATGAAAATTATACTTGGTATTTGCGTGATTTTCAAAGCAATCAACATTTCGTTCTGCCTTACCAAGAGGTTAATTATTCGAGACACCTTATCGCCGGCGTTTCTTCAAAATGTCGATTAATTTGTCTATGAATTCCCTCGACACTGAAGTCCTGGCTTCGCAGCTTTCCAATCGATCAAAATCTACAGCGGCGGTGGAAACAACTTTTTGCGTTGTTTTGAATATTCTTGCGTTGTTCCTTAACACGATCCTGTGTTGGGCCGTTTACAACAACGAACGCCTTCGTCGAATCACCAATATCTACGTGCTAGCTTTAGCAGCCACAGACCTTCTCATGGCTATTCTGGTGATGCCTTTTCTCTGCGATGTTTCCGTCAACGGGGGTTGGACATTGAATTGGTTTGCATGCCAGTTTCAAGGTTATTGGTGTGCCGTGTTGGCCTACACTGCTCAACTTTTATTTCCTCTTGCCGCTATCAACCGTTACACAAGAGTTCTTCATCTTAAAATTTACGCGACGATTTTTAACGACAAGAAGTACATTTTATTATCGATCGTTGTCGTTACCCTTTGTGCCCTAACCGCCCCTTTGCCGTACCTTCTTCGCGGACACGAATTCGCTTTCCATCCAGGAATGATGATTTGTTTTTACACAATTGCGAACACGCGCGAAAAACAGGCCCTATATAGGATCATTTTCTTCACTGTGTTACCCATGGTTGTGGTCACATTCTGTTACATTCGCATTTATCGCACCGTAAAACGCCACACTAAACGCCTCCAAAACAACATGGAGACGTCCGCCGCGGCAAACGCTACGAACAAGCTATCATCCGATGAAATTGTCATCACAAAAACATTATTTGCAATAGTTTTAGGGTTTTTCGTGTGCTGGACGCCACTTTATACCATCACGTCTATTGACACAGCCTTCGAAGGATATCGTTTACCAAGACAAATCTATTTTCTTGCCACTTATTTCGTAGGTTTGAGCAGCATAGCGAATCCTATCATTTTTGGATGCATGAACGCAAGTTTTAGGGAAGAATGCAAAAACTTGATTGGTGCTTTGAGGCAGGAACATACTGATAGAGTACGAAATATTTGACGACCAAAAGTGGTTATAGAAAGGCAAAATAGTACCTGAGTCTTTTAAACATTACGCGATACATTATTTAGCACCTTAACTTAATTCATGGGAACGAAATTAGCTTTGCCTTCAGGAAGAGTGTTTGAAATTAGGGAAGCTAAATGAAAATATTAAGTTTTGCGAAGTGTTTCCATCTTATTCCAAACTTTCCCCTCATACCATTCTGTTGTCGACACAAACTGAAATTGTCTCCATGATGATGAATTAGAAAGTATTAGAAATTGTGTTTCATTAAATATATACCGAGAAAATTTACTTGATTGACGCAGTTTTACATGAACAATGAAAACTTGTCAATTATTCTTATACGGAAAACTTGCGGGCCAATTTTGCAAAGAATATTCTAAACAATTTCCCTGGCGGGTGTTTCTAAGAAGGACAAATTAGCGAGAACCGAGCGAAATAAGTCTTCTACTTCTTCCAAAAGCTAGAATTGCGTCAATTCTTTCTTTTTTATCATTTATTTATTTATTTATTTATTTTATTCGGACTGAGGGGACACTCAAAGACAAGCTTGTAAAAAGATTTGTCAATGGAAGGACTTCATGCGTAACCTCAGGTGCATATGTCTCACTGAGGGCTTAAATGTTAAAAGGAAGCAACTTCGAATTAAAAAAGCTTAACTGCAAAAACATATATTGTGGCTCGAGGGATGGCTTAGTAATTCATATGCTAAATTCGTTTAAGGCCAGCAGGTCGCCGAAGCAACATCAGGAAACTCAAGGATCGGAGACACTCTGGAAAAAAAAAAAAAAAAGAGTTGCTTCCGATTGCTCTGTGAATTACGATTTTCCGCCTAGCTTGTGATTTTGATGTCATTTTCACAAATCTACTTGAAGATATCTCAATGATCTTTTATGATAGATAAAAGAAAAAAAAAAAGAAACATGATTAAGAGTTGTCGCTATTTGCAATGATAGCGGTTACACCCACGACGTGATAAAAGTACTTCCTCGCTGCAGGATAAAAAGGCGAAAGGCGGCGAATATGAAGGGTAGAAAAGAGATCAAACAGCGGGGCATTAGTCTTTTGTTTTTTCGCATGTAGGTGTCTTTTCAAGTTACTGTTTTGAAACTTACAGCAGTACGACCGGTCTAGTTCTGTTATTATTACCCACAGGCAAGTGTATCTTGAGCTCTGAACAAGAACCTGAACAAACTGGATATTTTGAATCACTTCTGTGCTTTTATTTGTATCACAACAGTGCGATTTACATTTCTCTAACCTAGCCTGCCACGTGCTTAAGGCAAGGATATGCATAAAATTAGACTTGACTGTTAATTAAACGATAGCCCTTTATTTTTAAGTAAAAAGGCTATCGTAGAAATGTTTAGATGTGGGCAAGACAATACCAATGATAAGAATACGAGTCGCGACGAAAAAAAGAAAAAAAACTGACAAAAACTAAATAGTTATTTTGCATAATACGAAAGCAGTCATCATGCTATGGATCATTGTCAAGGCACATATCGTGCGAGGAATCTTCCCTCCCACTTACGACAAATTTGCACGATAATTGAATCTCGTTAGATGCAAAGTGTCGAAACAATAACACCATCGATAAGTGTAGGAATAGGAAAAAATTTAACTATAAGACAATTCTGGAACACGCAAGGCATAGGAGGAGCAATTCCATTTACACCTAACTCCAAACCTACAAATTAGTGAGAGACATTGGCCTGGCAAGCAAAATATTGACTTGAAATAAATTTTGATATTTTTACTTATTCATGATGTTTCTTCACCTGCTGGTAAATACGTGCCAATATTCAAACGACGAAGATAAAAATGTTGTTATTAGTTAGTTTTAGCGTTCGCAAACTATAATCTAAGATAAGTAAAAGTTGGCCATTAGTTCAATTTAAAGTCGCCTGCGAGGTTGATAGTTTCAGTTAAGATGATATTTTCGGCATGGTTATCTACCATTTTGATATGGAAATTATGACGACATCATGCAGACTCATTTCAAATCTTTTAACCTTGGTACGTAAAGGGTCACATGGAAATGTCAGCTTTCAGTACAAAAACAATATTTTCAGTGTACTCTGAAAGACTTGTGTCTGCTGAAAAGTCGATACATTTGGGAAGTCTATCGTGAGCTACACGATTGGAATAAGCCGTTCAGTCACAGAATCAATGTATTGAGTGCTTCACCTAGCTATTTATTACACAAAACACGAGAATTTTATTCCATAAAGCTCATTTGTAGAAATCTAGACGCTTTWTTTTCACATGTGGAAAAAGCCTATACAGCCAATCAGAATGGCGTACAGCTCTTTCACGTGTCGAAGTATAACCAATCGAATTGCTCGAAATATTTACACGGGCGCACGCTTGCTCGTGCTCGCAAAATTTTTGCAACTGCTCGCATGCTCGTAGTCTCAATTTAAAAGTGCTTTCAAAATTTGGCCTTTGCTGAACTGCTTTATTGATATCGTATTTAGATTTAAAGAAAAAAAAAACTTTTGTAAGTGCAGTTTTCCGTACAGCACTTTATTCCCTTGAAATACATGTACTGCAATATTTTCCATTGCCATTGAATTTGCGTTGTTAGTGAGTTTTTGTCTCTAATTTACGTTCAGAAAAATATTTCAATGAAAATACATACATACATACATACATAAATTTTATTGTGTTATGTGCAATAAACAGCTCCCGACATAGAAAGTGCTTTGTACTGGGTTTTATTCAGTAGTTGTTTGTGTCAAAAGCCCTCACTCGCTCGTACCTCGCTCGTTCGGGTTTTTGACACAAACAACTCGTAAATAAAACCCCTTTCTATGACGTAAACTATATATATTGAATATCATGAATTATATTTGTAAGTTGTGTTTACTGTATCGCACGAAAAATTTCAAAGGCACATAGTTTTTTCTTTTCAAAGTAAAATAACATCTGTTGCTTTTTTTAAAACGGTTCACCAAATATGAAGTTAATATGACCGACTGGATCATGATCGAAACTCTTCAACAAACAAAAGAGGAAAAACTGTTATAGCACAACTGTTCGGGTACTGATTATAACTTTTTTAGACCGGTCTAGAAAAAAAAGGTACAAAGAATATAAAAAATTGGCATACAAGACACAGCCATATAATAAACATCTTATTAACCGAGCTAGGTCGGTCTGTACATGGGAGAATCTGGTTCTGTCCTGGTGTGCAGCTTCACAAGGGAATTACCATTGTTCTTTCTTTGTTTAGGAGTTATTGGTTAGCTGTTGTGTATTGTTCGGTCTTTTGTAACGGCTCTTGTGAACCGGTACACGAGGACAGAACCGAGAATCTTGACCTCGGTCGCTGGTACAGACCTCACTGCGTTCAATCTGTACTGGCGACCTCGGTCAAGATTCTCCCATACAGACCTTCTGCTCGGTTAATAAGAACTAGGTAAAACACTGTCAAACTTAAAAGCCTGGGGGCGGCATTTGATTTCAGTGCGCGCCAGGGGAGAGCGGAGCTGAATGTATTTTTGCTTCATTGATGTATATTTTCCGTAATAGTGTAATAACCAGCTGAATAAGCGGGAATTACAAACAAAACACCTGAAAGGAACAGAAGAAAGTGAACAAATTTAGAACGTTTAATTAGAGTAAACTTTTAAAACCCAATTCGAACAAATTGCGTACCTGTTATCCATCTTGCCTATAAATTTGACTGCATTTACTTCATTACAATTCTCTAAATAACGCTGTGTACCAGAATGAATACTATGAAGCGTTCGTGGAGGGTAAGTTTCTCCTGTGTCTTTGCATACGCCCATGACGAACTTTGTCCGGACAAGACTTTAGCCTACTCTGCCGTCATGTGGCAAATGTTTGTTTCCAAATCTTGAATTTGAGAAGTTTCCACGGCAAATCCGCTTTCTTATTTGTTCTTCCCGCCTGCCACTCCCCTTATATTTATCGAATTTACTTATATTTACTCCCATTTATTTACCGAACAGGTCGACTTTAGGATAGCATTTTCCAATACTTCGCTTTCTTCTTCTTCGCTTTTTGGTTCACGAAACGTTCTGTTCGAAGCCAAGGGATTTTTGGTGTGTTATGAATTGTTTACTACAATCCCAAAACTACATAATGCATATTAATTCTCACAATAATTCCCAGGTAGCACGTGCTAGCGTCTTCAAATTCATTTGTGCAACTCGAAATTAAAATTATCACTGACGCTAGTACGCTATAAACCAAAAAATTATCGCACAAGTACGCTAAACGAACAAGTTCGCATATTCCCTAGAGACTTGCGCTTTTTAAGCCATTCAATAAACTCGCGGGTCGTGTTTTGTCGTATTAAAAATCCACTCGGCTTCGCCCAGTGGTTTTATAACCCGATAAAACACTCCCGTTTGTTTATAAACAGTGCATTAGTAAGAACCATTCATTCGCTCTGACGAAGGGCTAACGCTCGAAACGTCAGCTTTGAAACTCTTTACGGCGGCCAATCTACATCAACGAACCAGTTGATAAAACCAAAATTACCTTGGTTGTATATTTACAGCTTAGTAGTAATCATAGGACTGAATGGAGTCCAAGTCGAGTCATCACAAGTATGAATACAGACCAAATTAAATGACTAAGAGGGAAAATTTGTGTTAAAAGACTGACAAAGAGGGTTTTGATTGGTTAATTTGAACTTCAACTTTGAATGTGATTGGTTGATGTACCAATCTATCATAAAAATCACAATTTTCAAGAATAGAATGAAATGAAATAAAGGGAAAATTTGTGTTAAACACTGACAAAGAAGGTTTTCATTGGTTGATTTGAACTTCAACTTTGAATGTGATTGGTTGATATACACCACGACTTTGAATATGATTGGCTTACTTTACGACAACAGACCGTCAGATGACAAACTTACTTGACAAGTTAATTAATGGAATATAGGAGCTTTTTTAAAACCAATCACAACCAAGGAAATTGTAATTTTTATGATTATGTGACTTAATTAATACTCCAAGCATCTTAAATCTATCGTTAGTGTGTTCAGTACGCACTTTTTGAATAAAATGGGGCGTCAAGAACTCTCAAAGAAACTCGATTTTCAAGTTAAGACGCCATGGTTACATTCTATAGCTCAAACCACGGTGACTCACCGTTGAAAGATGAATCCGTCTTGAGTTTTTTATTCACCGGGTGAAATGAGTAACCAATGAATTTCGAGACTTTGTACTGTCAATCAGGATCAACGATCAAAAGTGACTGTTCTTTTAAGCTCTGAACCCTGAATTCAACACGTCACGCTCTTGCTCAGTCATCTGAAAAATATTTTTCACTTTCAAATGGTGATAGTGGCTGGTCTATGTTGATATGACAAGGGCATACGGAATTATTTATGAGGAATTGGTGAGCAAGCGTTTTCTTTCTACTTTTATAATTAATGCCGTTATTACAGTTACTATTTTCATGTTTCAGCTGGAGCTCGTTAAGTCTATTATAATTTGCCTATGATGGTAAATTGGAGAAGTGCATGTTAAAAAGAATTGTTCCATATAATTTTCCATTACGCGTCGGCAATTTTGAGCTTTCTGGAAAAATTTAAAGAAAAAGCGATCGATAAACTTTCTCTTCGTATCATTTTTTTTCTCTGTATCAGTGGGACTCAACATGGTCATTACATGTTACAAAACACCAGGAGCCCTGTTATTTCCACTTGAAAACTATTATTAAGCAGAAGTCTCGATGAATTTTGAACAGAGTCTCTACCATACCATTTATAACTATCCAAAAACTAAGGATTCAAGTTTACATTGACAAATTTCACACAAGCCAAGCCTCCTGCTCACCTGAACTGACATATCAGTTTTTGGAAAGGTCTAGGGAGACTCGTAAGGTACAAATTTTCTTTTTTTTCGCCATTTTCCTTGCCAAGGATAGGCTGTCAATAAATTGCTGTCATAAGAAATTCTGAAGTGTGTTAATGATCATAAAGTTCACTTGACTGTTATCAAGTGATTCCAATATGCTATTTTGTCGTCCTCAGACAAAAGAAGAGCTAATTCTTTATGAACATTAATAAAGGAAAATCCTCCTCAGTCACTAATTGGTTTTCTTTAAGTTACCTACTAAAGATCTCTGAAACAATAACAAGTATCGCTAGAATGCGAGCGGCATGGGAATGAATTTTTCCTCTTTTATAAACCTGCAAAGAATTTGAACATATTTTCTGGTGTAGGTCAATCTAGATTGAGTTGAACCACTTTCCGACTAGTAGAAGGTTATATATATGTAGCACTGTCTGCAGTTAGTTAAATATATATTTAGTATAATTTCAGAGCTGAACAAAGAGTTTCCAGCAATCTGATTGGTCGAGCGGTTCCTTATATGACGCTATATAAATGTTACTAAAATGTTATGATATTAGAAATTGCTCTGTTCTTCAGCTCTGAAATTACACTAAAACAATTATTCGCCTGGACCTAAAAAAACCAAAGCAGCATGTTCGACGTCACCATGGGCAGCTTCGACGGAGCGGAAGTTTGCGTGCTTATCGGACTTTTCCTCCTGAACAACCTCGGTGAAAAATACGGCAAGAATAACGTAGGACTCTACAGGGAAGACGGGCTAGTGTTTCTAAGAAACACAAGCGGACCAGAAAGGACATCACACGTAAATTCAAGAAATAAGGCCTGAACATCTCTATAAGCTCAAACTCCAAATCTGCAACTTCCTCGACGTCATAAAATTTAGGCTAAGGATCAGAAATGGAATCTCACAAGGTAATACCAGCGCTGAACAGCAAACGGAGTTTCAACCGCAACTGAAGTCTGTGGCCACGAAGAAAGTAAAACTAAGACTTGTTCCAATCTTCTGTTACCCAGCCTTTAAATCTGTGGCTGTATGGTTTGTTTGGGTTTGCAAAGATAATGTTCATAGTTTCACACCATGTTAGAGGCTATCATCTCCTTGCGCAATGACAATACATTGGTTGTTGCAAATACATTGATTGTTGCTGTGTGTATTTATGGATATTACCACTGATGAAAAATTCATAACTTTAAGGCAAGTTTCTGCTGGTATTAGCACAAAGCGCCCACGATACAGTCACTTTCAAGAGCTGCTTCTTAAAACGGTATTTGAACGGTTCACTCTCTATTGGAATCGGACCAGAAACCATACATCAACTGAATTTTATGACACTTATGAACGTAAGTTTTAGAGCAGGCTAAAAAGTTTGATTCAATGAGATACACTGAAACACATGTTTTAATTTGCGGCCGACAGATCTCCATCATTTTGAATTACGATGGATTTCTATCTGGTCTTGCTCCATGTGACCAAGATGGTTTAATTTCAATTTTACAATTTCGTCGATTACTAGTCGCTAATTGTTCCGAAAATCTTATGGCAAAGGCCGTGCTTCGCTTATTTAATTGACTGAACCGGGCTCGTTAGCGAAATTGCAGGCTGAATATAATTACAGGTTACATACAAGTACCTCTCTATTTACATCTCAGCCAAATCGTGAAACGATGGCGTTTGAAACTGAAAACTGCTTAACTTGAGATTTACAAATTCAAGGCTGTCAGCCTTAAGTTTCTTATCCTTAGAAGTATTCCAATTTGTTATGATAAGGGGAGAGATCCCGCCAATACCATTGCACGACCCTCTGTTAATGTTTCCGCAACATCTACTACTTAGACAAAGAAAACGTTCGCGTTGTATGATGAATTATTTGTGATAATACGGTAGGCATGGAGATGACGTCATTGTTGAAAGAAGAGCTGAAAACATAGTCGAAAGCTGCTGTTAACGAATTCAAAACAGACCTGAATTCAAGTTCAAATAAGAGATATTCCAGAGTTTATATCGATCTTATATATCATTATTACAACTTATTTGATCGACGAGAAATTTTCGAACACTGTAGTTGCGAGACATGCAGTGGTATTAATGTAAGCTGCGATCACATAGATTCATGGAAATATAAAGTTTATGTAAATTTTGGCAGCGCTAAAAAGTTCATCGTTGGGTAGCCATGAGCGAAATAGTGACCTGACATTTTCGACCGCCAAAACTTTCGACGGATGCACGCAAAGCTCGCCAAAATACAAATAAGAAAAATGAAACTGGTAAGCGTTTTCTTCAAGGCAAGTAACTGTGCAGGTGGAAGTTTTTTTAGATGCTGCTTCGACTAATATATAAATATTTTTAAATTCAAATTCTATTTGTAGGCTAGTCGTGGATAAAGCGCTATGCAGACTTCATGTCTCGGGAAGAGAAGTCTGTTAAACAGCTGACCACTGGCAGACGAAAGAAAGTATGGACCGTTTGAAAAATATTATTTTCGGAATTTTCTTGGTGTACGTGAGAGATTTTCAGAAGTGTTCCTGCCAAGGTAGGTATCCTTTGAACAAAACGATATCATTTACCAGATGCGCATAATAAATTTAATTTTCGGACCAACCAGAATTAATCACTTTGAGCATTGTTTTGAGCAAGAAGGACCAGAGAACACAGTTTTTGTAAGCCAGCTAGAGTCTGTTGTTATCCATGACTCCAAACTAAATCATGAGCGGGCAAAGATGAACACCGCCCAACCGTTTCAATAAACCAAATGTTCTAGCCGTCGGTGAAATTTTCAGGCGAGTTGTTTCGCTTTGAAGCTTACAAAGGTGTCGCGAAAACTGCTTTTTAAAGTGAAAGATAATTTTTTCAATTCCATCTCTCACTCTTCACGAAACAGATATAACCAAAGTCACTGATCTTGCGTTAAGAAAAAGTTCATGTATATTAACATAAGAAAGTGCGCTTTGAAAAATATACAACAAATATTTAAATATTCCACAGACGCTATTCGCTATGCCTGATGATTACTAAACAGTAAGGCTGACACAGTTAATTTTAATAAGCACGTCCAAAGTGTTTTGGGCATAAAAAGTACTCCATAATTTGATATTGAAAAGAAAATACCGTTGAAACGTTTATGGGTTTTTTCAAGATGGCTACCTCGATTATTTAGAGCGTAAATTCCAAGTAAATATACTCTTTATTGCAGTATTTTGTTATTCCTTTCAAAACCGTGACTTCAGTTGGCGAAAACCGTTGACCTTTATATAATTTTGCACAACTTCCTACCGAACACAACTCGGTTAAACAGGGTATGCTTTCAAGGCTGGAATAAGATCAAAAGCGAACCAAAAACAGAAGTTTTTATCCGACATATGGTAACTAAGCCGGGATCAAGATTTACTGATATGGTCGCGTGGCCTAAGGCAATTTCTCTTTCGGTTGTTATTACATTAACAATACCGAGCACATGGTAGTGTTCATATGGCGTGATATCTAACTTCCGCAACCAAACAGAAGTTGAACTGATTTTGTGAAATACAGAATAATATTTGCTTTTCATTTTTAAATTGCTTAAGATGAAGATTAGTATAGAATTTGCTCTGACGAGGGGCTGACGCTCGAAAGGTCAGCTTTTTAACTCGTTACGGTGGCCAGTTTACAATAGGCCATTTTACAGTTGTGTACTTAGTTGCCAAGCCTTTGATTTGGAGTGAGGCTGAAGGTGACCTAGTTGTGATAGAGACCAGTATCTAGTTAGCATAATAACAAAGTAATTTACATTTGAAAAGCAGCAATGTCTGTATCATAACAAGGTCACCCTTAGCCTCACTCCTATTCAAAAGCTTGGCAACCAAGCATGCAGCTGTAAAATGGACTATTTCAACTTACGCTGCACCACAGTTTCTTTAGAAACTTTCACCCTTTATAGGGAATACTGCTGTTTATTTTGCTTCAGTAATCAAAAAAGTTGTTAACACGAATTTCAGGACCATTTCTGACAGGACTTCGGATATAAAACAAATAAACAATTCAAAACAAAAATTTTCAAAAACCGTATTCTGTAGGGACTGGTCATAATACATCACTGGAAGGGAGGGGAGTGGGGGAATGGGGTGGTCGAAGGATTTAGGTTGTGTCACGATAAATTTTACCAGATCCCCCTTAGGCTTCGCAAAATTCTGATGACCCTCCCCCCTTATCTGCCCATTGGCACTTGGCAATCAATTTCTGATAGTTACCCTTTTATGCTCTGTTAGCGTCGACTGATTTCCCCCCCGAAAAAAATTCCTTGGAACCCCCACCCATCCCTATACGATAGATAATGACTTGTCTCCTACATTAATTGCCGACTTTGAATTACCCGTAAAGGCATCGCAAAGGGCTCCGAACTAGAACTATAGCCTGTCTGTATTCTCGTTCCAAGATCCTACCGTGCAGCCACAACTGAGAAACCGCTTAGCCGTGGGAGGTCTGGGTACGAGACTAGCTTGTCTGGCTCCGTGATTTCATCTTTTTGTCGAACATGTTGAACTCGTCACTGCAAATGTGTTCTATTTACGTGTTTACACAGTTTCTTTTCATTGACATAAATGCGTGGAACATCGCATATCTTGGTACGCTGTGATCTTGGAAAAATTTGACTGCGGGACCAACATGAGAGCTTTTGAAACTTGCACATTTCTAATCTTACAATCTCATCATTGTTTCAGGGTGACCCACAAAAAAAATCTAAAAAAATTTCTGTAAAACTTTTATAGCAATGCAATGATTGCAATGAAATACAATGATTGCAACCGAAGATTATTGTAACAATTAGTGCTTATGGGGTCGAAACAAGATTAGGCTCGATTTTCACCGCTCTCTCGGGTTTGGTCTTTTTCGTTCCTCCCCGAAGAGGAGGAGGAAGCGCGGGCTCCGGCTCCCGAAGAGCGGCTGGTAATCGAGCCTGAAGCAAGATATGATGAAAAAGAATTTACATGGAATCATTACTATAATTTCTGTTATCTCATTGGTCAGCTTTGAATGTGAAGCCCGCCTTGTAACAGTAATTGCGGCACAACTCTTTCGCATCGCGGTGTGACTCTTGAAATAGCGACATGCTAATTATATGCCATCGCACTTTATCGAAACTGGATTTTTCAACTGTGAACCGATCGAGCGTGACTGCATCAACAATTGAATCACTGAAAAAGTGTTTTCTCCTTAGGTGGAAATATAAAACCTACATTTGACACATCGCAGTCGCCGTTAATTCAGGTCCCTGAAAATACAACTGTAGGTAAGTAAAATAATTTAATTACTTTTTCATCTAACTTCTCACTCATTTATCAATTTCCTTATTCGCTCGCTTGCCTGTTCTCTGACCAGCTATCTATTAAATGAGCAATATTTTGTACGAGAGAAGCAAAATTCACGTGACGCGATATAATTTTTTTAAGGAAAGATTTCTGTACTTAGAATCCTTACAACCATATTTATTTCTTTGTTGTTCAAGGTTCATCTCTGGTGTACATCAAAGCTTCGGACAGGGATAAGGACCCTATACGGTTCTCACTGGATTCAGCAGTTCAGAACCTACTCGAGATTGACAACACTGGAAACTTGACTCTCAAAAATCCACTAGACAGAGAGGTTAGCAAATTTATATAAATATTCATACTTATCTTAATTTGGATTAAGAACGATGGTATATTTTGAGTCGAAAGGTTGTAGAGAGTCTTTTTTTGGTTAATTTCTTTGTTTGTATTTTATAGCTAGAAGTTAAATATCTATTCAATATCTACGCTGCCGACCTTTGTCCTGGATGTGATCCAGAAAAACGGAAGGTAAACGTCTGAGATATATTCGACGCTGTTGTAGTGGTATATAAAATTCTTTCTTGCGTTCCATTGTTACATCCATTTTGAAATCCTGGTGATCCTTGCAATCTGATGGACCCTCATAGGTGCGATTTGTTCATGAATCGCACCAATTTTTGCTCTAAATCGCATCTTTTTTCCCAGCCGTTAAGAGAGCGTTACTACAAGACAACAACCAATCAGATTCCGAGGCTTGTTTAAAGTAACTAATCAAAATGGAGGAGAATGAAAGGCAACCTCAGCGAATTTTTACAAACCAGCTCAAAACTGGATCAGTTAAAAATTAATACAGATTAAAATATCCCGTATTTGAGTGATTGAAGTTTGCAATTTGAAAATAAATGCAATAAGGCGGTAATTGAACTTCGTGTCGTGCAATTTTGGTCTGAAGTCAAACTTGTGATTTCAAATCAAACTCGTTTTGGGCGCCCGTTCGATTATGATTTCAGACCAAATTGCATTTCATTCAGTTCAGTTACGACCGTTTATATAAAGTAGTTAATAGGTGTCTTAAGGAAATGGTATAGTTTTGCCATGTTGATTAAAACCGTTACAATTTGTTTTTCTGCTTGCTTCGATCCTTTTATTTCTAGACCGTAAAATCGTTTGTCCTGTTTGTCATCGACGTCAATGACAACACACCAACCTTTATAAGTACACCATATCTGGCCAGAGTTGCAGAGGTTAGGAGCTCAATTACCTGCTTCTTCATCTTTAAGTTGGTTGTTCAAATCTTGCCTTAAATAGAAGCTTGGTTAATTGTGGAATTGCTAGACTGTCGTGCGGAGGGGCGAGGTTTCAGCTGAACCCCAAACCTAAAAACGTCTATGGATCCTTAGATAATACAGTATGATGTAACTTGTCCAAATGAGTTGTCTTTGCAAGGAAATCTTGCTAGTACTTAGAAACCTAAGTCTTCGCAGGGAAGGAAAATAGAATTAATGTAGGCCCCGTCTCCTTCACATATAGTTTTCTAAGAGATAAGATGCCAGTTAGGGCTTCATTAAACATTCGCGAAGAGGAGAGTAATGTGTTTCGTCATGGAAAGATAAGTAAACTATTAAAGCTTCTCTAAATATCCGTAAATAGATCTCTTAAGGTATGTTCACTCATGAGAACACTTCGTTCATGTCACTGAGAAGCTTAATGTTGGTTCTCACAATCCTCATTTGTTCGTATTCAATAAAGAATGGGAAACTCAAGGTTGAGAATTCCGGATCCACGTCTGCCTGAAAAGAGGGAATGATGTGAGAGACTAAATTTATTTTCAC